GAAGGGTATTCTCCGTAACCAGCTATAGCTTAATATGATTTGTCAACTCAGTCCTTCTCTACTACCCATGAGGAAACATTCCTTTTTCTCCTAATCATTATTGATGTTTTTTTTTTGTCTGCCTCAACATTCAATTTCTCCGCTGGCATGTTGAAGCTGTCAATCAAACCTGTGGAAGGTACTATCAAGATGCACTGAGAGACAGAGAGAGTAGGATAAGTTTTAGTTCAGCTCAAAAGGCACCTTTTTTTCAGATCTCGGATTCATTCACCTTTTGATTGAGACTATATACTATGGTCAATTAAACTATGAAGACAGTGGTGTTACGGCAAAGGATTTTTCTTACCCAAACACAAGATCCAGGATTTTTTATTTATCTCAATTGAAATGCACAGGATCACCAGATTCCCTGAAGGATTTGTGTGGACTTTTTTGACTCTAGACATACCTGCGGTATATGTGAAGTTTGGGGACCAGAGTGAGCTAGGTGATGGTTCAACGGGATAACGGAGCTACATGCTAAACCTTTCTGTTCAGGCTGCCAGTCTGTCTGCAGCTTACAATCAAGGTAAGAGACTTTGCTTCTACCTTCAATGACATTTCATTGGGACTCCCCTGACTCACACGCGCACGTACACATGCACGGACGCAGACACACAAACACACACACACACACACACACACACACACCTGGCACTCCAACAGGCTGCCGGGCTCTGTCAGAGCAGACAAAAGCCTCATTTATACCTGGTACTGACATGTGTCTTTTGTCCTGATTGTGTCCACATTCTGATTGTGCCCACATTAATAGACCTTGTGATCTGGTTGAGACAGACCTGGACAGGGAAACCATTTAAATCCTAATTATCTTGCCTACTAAAATCACTGACAGGTTGCACCATTGACTTATGACATGAATATGTGTCTTAAAGTAAATTAATTAATATTATTTTTGAAATAATATCTGTCAAATGAATTGCATTCAAGGAGGGACCAGGAAATCTGATTCCTAAATGGTGTTATCCTGATCCTACACTTTTAGAAGAAAAAAAAAAGGTGCTATCTTGAACCTAAAGGGGTTCTTCGGCTGTCCCCATAGGAGAATCCTATGAAGAACCCTTTTTGGTTCCAGATAGAACCCCTTTCCATAGAGGGTTCAATATGGAACCCAAAAGGATCTACCTGGAACCAAAAAGGGTTCTGCTATGGGGATAGTCGAAGAACTGTTTCGGAACCCTTTTTTCTAAGAGTGTACTCAGTATTAAACCACAGTACATTTAGCCACTATTGCATCTAAGGTCACTGACATTTGTATTCCAGTATGTCAATGCAGTTAACTATTGCAGAAAATGCATTATTCTTATGAGAGTTGAATGTTCATCTTGTCATTATTGTACTGCAGTATATTGTGTCTGTGGTCTGTCTTTGAGGCCATCCCCTGTCTATCTACAGTTGAAGTCGGAAGTTTACATACACTTAGGTTGGAGTCATTAAAACTTGTTTTTCAACCACTCCACAAATGTCTTGTTAACAAAGTATAGTTTTGGCAAGTCAGTTAGGACATCTACTTTGTGCATGACACAAGTAATTTTTCAAACAATTGATTACAGACAGATTATTTCACTTATATTTCACTGTATCACAATACCAGTGGGTCAGAAGTTTACATACACTAAATTCACTGTGCCTTTAAAACAGCTTGGAAAATTCCAGAAAATGATGTCATGGCTTTTGAAGCTTCTGACATCATTTGAGTCAATTGGAGGTGTACCTGTGGATGTATTTCAAGGCCTACCTTCAAACTCAGTGCTTCTTTGCTTGACATCATGGGAAAATTTAAAGAAATTAGCCAAGACCTCAGAAAAAAGATTGTAGACCTCCACAAGTCTGGTTCATCCTTGGGAGCAATTTCCAAACGCCTGAAGGTACCACGTTCATCTGTACAAACAATAGTACGCAAGTATAAAAACCATGGGACCACGCAGCCGTCATACCGCTCAGGAAGGAAATGCGTTTTGTCTCCTAGAGATGAGTGTACTTTGGTGCGAAAAGTGAAAATCAGTCCCAGAACAACAGCAAAGGACCTTGTGAAGATGCTGGAGGAAACAGGTTTGGATTGTCCATGAGGAGCTTCTCTTTGTGCTCTTTCTGTGCCTTGTCATTTTCTATATCCAAGGGGTACTGTACTGTGGTGACCTCTGCACAGGGGAAGCCATGGAGCACCTCTGCATTTGGGTGGGGGAGGGACTGTGATGCCGCTGTTGGGCTCTGGGGCTTTCACACCTCTCAATTCACACCTCAGTGCAAATTGAAGTTGAGGCCAGGTCTGTACTTTCGTAGCAAACTTGGTAGCCTTTTAATGTAGCATTTAGTCTATAAAGTTAAATTTCTAAAGATTATTGTAATGTTATTTTCCTTCTAGGGTTTCGAAGTAGCTTCAGATTGAACATGACTTACTCAGTTCCAGGTTGGATGATATTTTTTCAGGTTTCTGTTGTGCTTCTTTTGCTGGTTGTTGGTTTGTCAGAACGTTTCCTGGATAGTCAGCAAGAATCATTGGTAGGAAGAATCCTCCAGGTAATTTTATCCAAAATCAGTTGTGATTTGGAGTGAACGTTATGTTGTGGAGGGAAGTATCCTGTATATGTCCTCGTAAAGAAAATCTAAGTTTATCCAACACCAATTCTATCTTTCAGGACCTCTCTCTCTCTGTCTCTGTCTCTGTCTCTGTCTCTGTCTCTGTCTCTGTCTCTCTCTGTCTCTCTCTCTCTCTCTCTCTCTCTCTCTCTCTCTCTCTCTCTCTCTCTCTCTCTCTCTCTCTCTCTCTCTCTCTCTCTCTCTCTCTCTCTCTCTCTCTCTCTCTCTCTCTCTCTCTCATTCCCACTCCCACTCCCACTCCCACTCCCACTCCTTTCTCCAGTGATGAATGCGGTATCCATGGAGCCAATGGTGGTCTTGGTGGAGTGATCACATTTTTCCTTGTTTATTTCTCTCTCCTCTCCTCCTCCCCCATTCACCCATTCATACAAAGCAGTACGACTTGCCCTTAACTGCACACACAGAACTAACATCAACTACACTTCAAACATAATTATCCACCAGACACGACACTATGGGTTTCTTCCCTGTACCCAAACTAAAAAGAGATTTCATGCGTCACTCAGTTATGTATATAACCATGCCATCATGGAATGCTCTGCCACCAGAGGTTACTCAGGCAAAAAGCAAGTTTAGCTTTAAAATACAAATAAATAAAAAACATATTGTATCACAGTGCCTCTCCTCTTTCTAAAGATCTAATTTAACTGTACTGTATATAAGAATATGTACAGTGGGGAGAACAAGTATTTGATACACTGCCGATTTTGCAGGTTTTCCTACTTACAAAGCATGTAGAGGTCTGTAATTTTTAAAAAAAAATCAGAAAATCACATTGTATGATTTTTAAGTAATGAATTTGCATTTTATTGCATGACATAAGTATTTGATACATCAGAAAAGCAGAACTTAATATTTGGTACAGAAACCTTTGTTTGCAATTACAGAGATCATATGTTTCCTGTAGGTCTTGACCAGTTTTGCACACACTGCAGCAGGGATTTTGGCCCACTCCTCCATACAGACCTTCTCCAGATCCTTCAGGTTTCGGGGCTGTCGCTGGGCAATACGGACTTTCAGCTCCCTCCAAAGATTTTCTATTGGGTTCAGGTCTGGAGACTGGCTAGGCCACTCCAGGACCTTGAGATGCTTCTTACGGAGCCACTCCTTAGTTGCCCTGGCTGTGTGTTTCGGGTCATTGTCATGCTGGAAGACCCAGGCACGACCCATCTTCAATGCTCTTACTGAGGGAAGGAGGTTGTTGGCCAAGATCTCCCGATACATGGCCCCATCCATCCTCCCCTCAATACGGTGCAGTCGTCCTGTCCCCTTTGCAGAAAAGCATCCCCAAAGAATGATGTTTCCACCTCCGTGCTTCACAGTTGGGATGGTGTTCTTGGGGTTGTACTCATCCTTCTTCTTCCTCCAAACACGGCGAGTGGAGTTTAGACCAAAAAGCTCTATTTCTTTTCTCATCAGACCACATGACCTTCTCCCATTCCTCCTCTGGATCATCCAGATGGTCATTGGCAAACTTCAGACGTGCCTGGACATGCGCTGGCTTGAGCAGGGGGACCTTGCGTGCGCTGCAAGATTTTAATCCATGACGGCATAGTGTGTTATTAATGGTTTTCTTTGAGACTGTGTCCCAGCTCTCTTCAGGTCATTGACCAGGTCCTGCCGTGTAGTTCTGGGCTGATCCCTCACCTTCCTCATGATCATTGATGCCCCACGAGGTGAGATCTTGCATGGAGCCCCAGACCGAGGGTGATTGACCGTCATCTTGAACTTCTTCCATTTTCTAATAATTGTGCCAACAGTTGTTGCCTTCTCACCAAGCTGCTTGCCTATTGTCCTGTAGCCCATCCCAGCCTTGTGCAGGTCTACAATTTTATCCCTGATGTCCTTACACAGCTCTCTGGTCTTGGCCATTGTGGAGAGGTTGGAGTCTGTTTGATTGAGTGTGTGGACAGGTGTCTTTTATACAGGTAACGAGTTCAAACAGGTGCAGTTAATACAGGTAATGAGTGGAAAACAGGAGGGCTTCTTAAAGAAAAACTAACAGGTCTGTGAGAGACGGAATTCTTACTGGTTGGTAGGTGATCAAATACTTATGTCATGCAATAAAATGCAAATTCATTACTTAAAAATCATACAATGTGATTTTCTGGATTTTTGTTTTAAATTCTGTCTCTCACAGTTGAAGTGTACCTATGATAAAAATTACCTCTACATGCTTTGTAAGTAGGAAAACCTGCAAAATCGGCAGTGTATCAAATACTTGTTCTCCCCACTGTATATATGAATAGTGTGTAAATATAATTTTTTGTGTTTTCCCAATAGTTACATGTTTTATGTGGATCTTAATAAATTAAACCCCCTCCCCCTCTATCTCCGTAGCGATGACCACGGTATCCATGGAGCCCCTGCTGGTCCTGATGGAGCGGATCCCCAACGCCACCGACCCGCCTTTAGACTCCACCCATTCCTCTCCTGAAGACACCGCCGCCACCTTCACAATAGGCTGTATTCTCTCCCTCATGTGTCTGGTCGGCGTCACCGGAAACATCTACACCCTCGTGGTCATGTGTCACTCCATGCGTTCCGCGGCGTCCATGTACATTTACATCATCAACTTAGCCCTGGCTGATCTCCTCTATCTGTTGACCATCCCGTTTGTGGTCTGCACGTATTTCCTGAAAGGTTGGTATTTCGGCGATGTTGGGTGCAGGATTCTAATCAGCATGGATTTTCTGACGATGCACGCCAGCATTTTCACGCTGACCATCATGAGCACCGAGAGATACTTTGCCGTGCTGAAACCGCTGGACACAGTCAAGCGGTCCAAGAGCTACCGCAAAGCCATTGCGGTGCTTGTATGGGTAGCTTCCCTGGTCCTGACTTTACCCATGATCCTCAGCATTCAGATGATGATGGTGGGGAGCAAGGCCATGTGCCAGCCGACCATCTCACCGCTGTCCTATAAGGTGTACATCACCTTCCTGTTCTGTACCAGCATTGTGGCTCCGGGGATGATCATTGGCTTTCTATACATCGGGCTGGCTCGTACCTACTGGATCTCTCAGACAGAAACCTTCAAACAGACCAAGAAACTACCCAACCAAAAGGTCAGTCAATTAAACTAAGTACCTCTATGTCAATCAAACGAAGTATCTCCCTCTGTCTAACCATCATTTAGATATGTCAAAGGAATAGCCTTTGGTAAAACAAATGAATGTGATTGATTGCTGTGATCATGTAAATCCCTCTAGGTCCTCTAGCTGGTCTATTTCCATCTTGTGTTTTTCTATCCTCTAGGTCAGTGGTTACCAACCGGTCGATCGCGATCTTAGCCAACAGCGCATTCCTAGTTGATCGGCAAACATTTCTATAAAAAAACCTAACGATAAGCCTTGCGTTCCTATCAATGAATACTGCAAAGAGCTGCTGTTTTTATGAGTGAGTTCACGTTGAAGTTTTTACTCAGCACTGTCAACACTTCTTTAAATATTTGTATAAGCCATAAAATGTGCGTTCTTCCTACTTCGACTCGCAGCACTGCAGCTGCAATGAATGAGTAGGAAATTGTATCGATAGGATTGTATAGTTATTATTAATGGCTTGGGTTTTTAACCGAGGAACTAATGCGGTGCGAGAGGAGGACCCTGAGTCTGCTGCCCTCTCCCTCCGCTGAGACTGACCATAAGATGCAGGCTCCATCAGCCCAGTAAAATAAATAAAGCGAATTATTTTAATTTATGCTCACTCAGCTGTGCCTCACAAGTAATCCAACAGCTGGTCTATTACCAGTGTGATCATATAGCCTACCTTAAATGTTGAAATATATATATATTTATTTAAATAGCCTGAGAAGAACAACATTGCATTGGCAGGGAAATTCAAGGAAAGTCAATATGCGGTAATAATGTTTTGGGCCTATAGCCTACTGCACACACCTCATTACTACAGCACTGTTTTTAATAGGTCAATGTTGTATAGGCTTATATTTTTTGAGTAATGTTAAAAATACATCTGAACGGTAGATCTCAGCTTGAATTTTGACTCAGAAGGTGATCTTGACTCAGAAAGGTTGTTGAACAACTCCATCTTGTGTTTCTCCAACCTCTATGTGCTCCAGGTGCTCCAGGTCCTCTACATATCTATTTATAACTCCATCTTGTGTTTCTCTATCCTCTAGGTCCACTAGCTGATCTATTTCTAACTCCATCTTGTGTTTCTCTATCCTCTAGGTGCGCTAGCTGATCTATTTCTAACTCCATCTTGTGTTTCTCTATCCTCTAGGTCCTCTACAGATCTATTTCTAACTCCATCTTGTGTTTCTCTATCCTATAGGTCCACTAGCTGATCTATTTCTAACTCCATCTTGTGTTTCTCTATCCTCTAGGTGCGCTAGCTGATCTATTTCTAACTCCATCTTGTGTTTCTCTATCCTCTAGGTCCTCTACAGATCTATTTCTAACTCCATCTTGTGTTTCTCTATCCTCTAGGTCCTCTACAGATCTATTTCTAACTCCATCTTGTGTTTCTCTATCCTCTAGGTCCTCTACAGATCTATTTCTAACTCCATCTTGTGTTTCGCTATCCTCTAGGTCCACTAGCTGATCTATTTCTAACTCCATCTTGTGTTTCTCTATCCTCTAGGTGCGCTAGCTGATCTATTTCTAACTCCATTTTGTGTTTCTCTATCCTCTAGGTCTTCTAGCTGATCTACTCCTAACTCCATATTGTGTTTCTCTATCTAGGTCCTCTATCTGATCCTCACAATTGTGCTGCTGTTCTGGGCTTGTTTCCTGCCTTTCTGGATCTGGCAGCTCCTGGGTCAGTTCCACCCTTCCATCCACCTCTCCAACAAGGCCAAGCGCAACATCAACTACTTGACCACCTGTCTCACCTACTCCAACAGCTGCATCAACCCTTTCCTCTACACGCTGCTCACCAAGAACTATAAGGAGTACCTGCGGAAGCACCAGCGCACCTGGACCGCGGGCAGCTACTTCAACCGATGGAACCGGTTCCAGCGCTCGCCCAGGAGGTCGCTGTCCTCCAGCAGCCAGCAGTGCACGGAGAGTTTCGTGCTCACGCACACGCACACGCCGTCGCAGCGCACCACCCACAACAGCAGCCTGTGAGGTATAGGAGAAGAGGTGTCTGTTATTGGTCTTATCGTGACATTATCTCCACATGTCTGCTCCTAAATTGACCCATTTACAGTGATGTACAGATGTTCGGATCTTAACTTAATCACTATTTTTGTCGCAGAGAATTTTCCTGATGCATCAGGAAATTCAAAATAGCCCCGTGATTGGCTGAAAATGAGCAGTTCTCATTCTCTCCAAGCGGGGCAGCATTGGGATCAGGGCTTGCTATCAAAATTATGTTCTCTCACTCGCTCAAACTCTAGGCCTAGCTCCCATTACCGCCACATTGAAATGTACAAAAATGTATCTGAAATGCAGCCGCACACATCAACAATGTTGTTTTATATAGCTTAATAACACAAGATAGATACTGGTCTCCAATAGGCTACGACATACAAGTGTCTAGTGTGTCCTAAAGTTACGAATTAACTCAAAATTGAGTTCAACCATGGCCTGGGGTGGTCTAGCGGTTAGGGCCGCTTCCTTCAGTGTGCACGTATGTTGATTCTGGCCCATTCCCTTCTGGTAGAAATAACTAAATCCCTCAATTGACTTGATGTAGTTACACATTTCAAATATGGACAGTCCAGGGTTATTTAAAAATATGTATATATATATATGCTCCGAATGCAAAAGTTTAGACTTTACTGCTTACTTACAAGCCCTTTCCCAACAATGCAGAGTTAAAAAGTACAGAGAAAATTTGTTTTGTAAATAACAAAAAAATAAAAACTAATATTAACACAATAAAATAACAATAATGAGTAGTGGTACCGAGTCAATGTGCAGGGGTACGAGGTAGTTGAGGTAATATACGCATGTACGTTGGGGTAAAAGTGACTAGGCAATCAGGATAGATATTAAACAGAATAGCAGCAGCGTATGTGAAGAGTGTGAAAGTGTGTCTGTGTAAATGTGGGTGGCATCAATATTCATGTGTGTGTTTTATGTGTGTGAGAGTATGTAGTGTGTGAGTGTGTGTATGTGTGTGTTGGAGTGTCGGTATAGTATGTGTGACTATGTGGGTAGAGTCCAGTGAGTGTAACCCAAAGGAGGTCAAAAACTATCCAGCAGTCTTATGGCTTGGGGTTAGAAGCTGTTCAGGAGCCTTTTGGTGCCAGACTTGGCTCTCCGGTACCGCTTGCTGTGTGGTAGCGGAGGGAACAGAGTATGACTTGGTGATGACGTACTGGGCCGTACGCACTACCCTCTGTAGTGCCTTGCCGGCCGTATACCAAGTAGTTTCCATACCAAGCGGTGATGTAGCCAGTCAAGATGCTCTCGATGGTGCAGTTGTAGAACTTTTTGAGGATCTGAAGGCCCATGCCAAATCTTTTCAGCCTCCCGAGGGGGAAGAGGCATTGTCATCGCCTCCTCACGACTGTATTGGTGTGTTTGGACCATGATAGGTCCTTAGTGATGTGGACACCGAGGAACTTGAAGCTCTCGACCCGCTCGACTGCAGCTCCGTTGATGTTAATGGGGGCGTGCTCGGCCCTCCATTTCCTGTAGTCCACGATCAGCTCCTTCATCTTGCTGATGTTGAGGGAGAGGTTGTTAACCTGGCACAACACTGCCAGGTCTCTGACCTCCTCCCTATAGGCTGTCTCATCGTTTTCGGTGATATGGCCTACCACCGTCGTGTCATCGGCAAACTTAATGATGGTGTTGGAGACGTGGGTGAAAAGGGAGTACGGGGGGGACTAAGCACACACCCCTGTGGGGCCCCCGTGTTGAGGACCAGCGTGGCGGTTGTGTTGTTGTCTACCCTCACCACCTGGGGACAGACCATCAGGAAGTCCAGGATCCCGTTAAAGAGGGAGGTGTTCAATCCCAGGGTCCTTAGTTTAGTGATGAGCTTGGAGGGCACTATTGTGTTGAACGCTGAGCTGTAGACAATTAACAGAATTTTTAAAAAAAGATCAGCTTTAATATTGCAGATAGATCTGCATCATTTCCAATCCCCCATATATATATTTGTGTAAATATATACAGTATATAAAATATATATATATATAATATATATTTTAATGTATTTTCCTGTATTATTTTCCCCTAACCCTACCACCCCTCCCCTAATTGGAGTCAACTATTGGACAACAACACTTAGACTTCTACTTCCAGCTTATACATACTAAAATGTATATACATTTTACGGACACAGTATATTTTACAATAGTTATCGTTTGTTTGTATTTAGTCCCATCCTTCAGCTACCCTCAACCCTTCCCATCAGTCCCGTGTAGCTCAGTTGGTAGAGCATGGAGTTTCCAACGCCAGGGTTGTGGGTTTGATTCCCACGGGGGCCAGTATGAAAATGTATGCACTCACTAACTGTAAGTCGCTCTGGATAAGAGCGTCTGCTAAATGACTAAAATGTAAAGACCATCCGGTTTTGATTTCTAATTGCCATATATTTTCCAACTGTGCTGTTTCAAAAAAGTTCTGAACCTATATACGTTTTACGGACACAGTATATTTTACAATAGTTATCTTTTGTTTGTTTTTAAAAACAAACAAAAGATAACTATTGTAAAATATACTGTGTCCGTAAAACGTATATAGGTTCAGAACTTTTTTGAAACAGCACAGTTGGAAAATATATGGCAATTAGAAATCAAAACCGGATGGTCTTTACATTTTGATTTCTATTTGCCGTATATTTTTCCACTGTGCTGTTTCACGAAAGTTCTGAACCTTTCTATTCTCATAGTTTCTACAGATTGTAAATTCAAGATAAACATTTTTGCCAAGAGTATTATTATATAATTGATGAACTGACTATGACTTTTTAAATCACCCAACAGTGATTTCTTTTACAGAAAATATAGTTTTTTTTTAATCAATTATTATATTTGAGTTGTAATATGTATTCTCTTCTCTGGTGGATTAAACTGAAGTTGCAACCAACTTTCTATGGCTTGTTTTAAAAATAGCGATATTTTGGATATTATTTCATTTTCAAATAACCAAAAGTGAGAGGTTGTAATCTGAATAAAGGGAAAAAGGTCATTCTTGAACATGGGTTGAGACATTCTTACTAATCTGCTAGAGAACCATTTTGGATTTAAGCATACCTTTTGTATGACTGAAGCCTTTAGTGAGAGGTCTAATGCTTTAATATTTAATAATTTCTGCCACTAGGTGTAGGCAAGGCCATAAGCAAATAGGTAAACTGAGATATGACTAAAGACTTAATCAGGGTGATTTTTCCACAAATCGACAGGTATTTTCCTTTCCATGGCAGCAAGACCTTATCTATTTTTGCTAACTTCCTATTAAAATGTATTGTATTGAGATCATTTATTTCTTTTTTTTTCAGGATATGAATACCGAGTATGTCCACTTCACCGTCAGACCATTTTATTGGTAAACTACACGGTAATGTAAAAGTTGTATTTTTTATTGATCCAATACGTAATATAGTACACTTTTCATAATTTGGTTGTAATCCAGAGAGGTTAGAAAAATAATCTAGAACCTCTATGAGTCTGTGGAGGGATCCAAATAGTGGATTTAAAAGAAAACATGAATCAGCGTACAATGACACCTTTGTTTTTAAGCACTGATTTCAAGCCCTTTGATATTATTGTTGGATCTGATTTTTAATAGCTTACATTTCGATGGCCATAATAAATAGATATGCTGACAGTGGACAACCTTGTTTTACTCCTTTTGACAGTTTAATACTTTCTGAGAAGTAGCCATTAATTACTAGTTTACACCCAGGGTTACTATACACAACTTTAACCCATTGTATAAGAGATTCTCCAAAATTTAAATATTCCAGGCATTTATATATAAACTCCAGTCGTACTTTATCAAAAGCCTTTTCAAAGTCAGCTATGAATACCAGGCCTGGTTTCCCAGATTTTTTATAGTGTTCTATTGTTTCCAGAACTTGTCTTATATTATATCCAATGTATCGTCCATGTAAAAAAAACAGTCTGATTAGGTTAAATAATATCAGACAATACCTTTTTAATTCTATGCGCTATACATTTTGCTAGAATCTTTGCATCACGGAACTGAAGTTTAAGGGGCCTCCAATTGTTTTAATGGACTGGATCTTTATATTTACCACTTAGGTCCTTTTTCAGCAATAATGAAATCAACTTCTTGTTGAGTATCTGATAATCTACCATTTTCAAAGGAGTGGTTAAAACATGCTAATAACGGTCCTCTGAGTACATCAAAAAAGGTTTGGTATACCTCAACTGGTATGCCATCCAGCTCTGGAGTTTTCCCGGACTTAAAAGCTTTAAATACATCAAGAAGTTCATCATCTGTAATTTGGCCTTCATGAGTCTTTCTTTACAGGTGTTAATTATACATTATTAATAGAAAAAAAAATCTTTACAATTAACTTTGGTTAGTGGAGATGGAGGAGACTGAAAAGCAAAAATATGCTTAAAATACTTCGCTACTGCTTTCAAAATATTGTTTGGTGAATCATTGGTGACATCTCTATGTTGAAGATCAAAAAATCATTTGGTGGATTTTTCCACATACAGTGGGAAAAAAAGTATTTAATCAGCCACCAATTGTGCAAGTTCTCCCACTTAAAAAGATGAGAGAGGCCTGTAATTTTCATCATAGGTACACGTGAACTATGACAGACAAAATGAGAAAAAAAATCCAGAAAATCACATTGTAGGATTTTTTATGAATTTATTTGCAAATTATGGTGGAAAATAAGTATTTGGTCAATAACAAAAGTTTCTCAATACTTTGTTATATACCCTTTGTTAGCAATGACACAGGTCAAACGTTTTCTGTAAGTCTTCACAAGGTTTTCACACACTGTTGCTGGTATTTTGGCCCATTCCTCCATGCAGATCTCCTCTAGAGCAGTGATGTTTTGGGGCTGTTGCTGGGCAACACAGACTTTCAACTCCCTCCAAAGATTTTCTATGGGGTTGAGATCTGGAGACTGGCTAGGCCACTCCAGGACCTTGAAATGCTTCTTACGAAGCCACTCCTTC